ATCAACTCCAAGTACAATATCTTCAAGTGGGGGGGGGAGTGTTGCTGTGACATTTACCACAAGTACCACGCCTGTTGCAATAGTTTGCAAGCCTATTCATGTTGGTAGCAGTGCAACAACAACAGTTACAGTAAGTAGTACAACTACGCCTACTGTAAAGAAAGGATCTAGACTTGCAGCTGGATTTACCTTGCGAACGCTAGTTACAAAAGCTGTTTCGAAGGCAATGACTACATCAACTACAACCAGCAGCGTGAAGACCAGGGTAACTACAATTCCAGTTACCAAAATAACAACTGCTGTGACGGTTGCAGCTAGTAGCACATATACTATAGCGAGTGCAACCAGTGCAACACCAATTATGTCAGCCCCTACATCTTTAACATTACCGGAGATGGAGGCACCACAAAGTATGCCACACATTGAAGATGTTTTAACTCAACTTCTTACCTTAAGTCAGGGTATGACTAAAAGAGATTTAGTAGCCTTGATATCTGCATTACCAGAAGCAAATGCAAGTGATATGGATGAAGACTCTTCTGCAATAGATACACCTTGTACTTATAGTACAGGTTATATGCACCATGAAGTGGATCCTTGCAATACAGATATACTTGGTTCTTCTAGAACAAGGTTTACAAGTATGGTAGATGATGTCAAGCCAAAATATTTCAGTAACAGTGCATCCAGGTCATACAACACTAAATTGGACACAAGGTATGGCAACCCTAAATGTATATCTCCTAAGAAAGAATATACATCTGCTACTTATGTATATGGAGATACACAACAACAGTCGAGGTCAACTAAAGGGTCTTCTAGACATTTAGATAGATATGAATGCAAGAAGAAAAGTTCAAGAAGAGACCGTCGAGGTTACCATACCAGATCAGAAAAGTCAAGTGAAAGTAGCGATAATAGTAGAAGCAGATCAATCGGTAGAAGAGATGTTCAGTCCAGATACAGTAGTGATGGTAGAAAGAATCGGGACAAGATTGGTTACAACAATCGGTCTTCTTCTAGAAACCGATTGTCGAGAGATGACAAGTACAGTCGTAGATCACGGTCGTCTTCTAGACACCAAAGATCAAGATCCAGAAGTCTGAGCTTTTCAAGGTCAAGATCGTATAGATATAGGAATAGATCTTCAAGCAGCAGCAGTAGTACGAGATCTCGATCAAGAGGCTATAGTCATTCAGGGTCAAGACGTCATAAGTACAGGTCCCATGATAAGTATTGCAAGCCATCTAGACGACATGACAGAAGTCGCTCTTCGAGTTATTCTGATCGAAGCAAGTCAGAAAAGAGGGGTAACCCGAAGGAACTTCCAAAGAATTTGCGGTATGATGGGAAGACAAGCTGGTTATCTTTCAAAGAACAATTTGAAAGTTATCGAGCTGTTTCGAACTGGACTGACAGTGAAAGTAAAGATTACCTTACTTGGAGTCTTCAAGGTAAAGCGTTAGATTTCTTCACAATAACTAATAAAGCAGGGCATTGCTATTCATATAAGCAAATGATGAAGAAATTAGAGACCAGATTCGGCGACCAGGAACTTACCGAGACGTCACGTGTTAAGTTCCAGCAGGCTAGACAATCATCAGATGAATCTTTAGATGATTGGGCAGATCGAGTGCTGACACTTTCGACATATGCATTTAAGGATCTACCCGAAGAATACAGAATGCGAGAGGCAATTTCGAAGTTCTGCCAAGGATGTATTGATAGAGAAGCAGGAAAGCATGCATGTTTCGAACATCCTAGGAGTATACAGGCTGCACTTAACGCTGTAAAGCATCACCAGTATATCTCTGAGGCAGTGGATGGCAAAAAGCATTCTAGAAGATCTAAAGATGAAGTGTTAATTAAATGCAGTTAATACATCAGCTGAAGCCAGGGTGGAACAATTGCTGAACAAAGCTATGGAACAGCTTAGCAGTAAAATTCAGCAATTGACTACAACCAATAAAGAAACTGAATCTAGGACAGGAAGAGGGCTATCATGTTTCTTTTGCAAACAAAGGGGCCACATTAAGAAAGACTGTCCAGGATTTAAAGAATGGTTGAAGAAAAAGGGGCTATCTAACACTACGGAGCAACAACGAAATCCAGCAAATCGTGATTTAAACAAGAAAGGGCTGAATGGAATGGCCAACCGTTCAAGCCCGAAGAAGTAACTGGTCAAAATGGTAAAGATTCTGCGGCTTCTAGTCCGGAAACTGATGTCATCTGTGAAGAACGACCAGTTACAGATCACGAAGATGTTATTAGCCTTCATAAAGGTGACAAGACTTCTAGTCAAGGTCATCAAAATCATCTAAACACCCTGAAGTTACTGCAACAATTAAATTTGATGAAAAAGACCATACAGATGGCATGACTTCTAGTCATGTTGATGAAAGCGAAGATATTTTGAAAGATGGTAATACTGTCGAATTAAATTTAGGTATACAAGAAACACAGAATGACGGAATTGTCAGCGTTCATCAAGTGCGAGCAAGCATCTGTGGTTTATCATAATTTAGAACACCCTTTCTAAAAAAAAAGAACAACAACAACAATTAGCAGGGATCTCAGGAAGGTAAAAATTTCACGTGGCAGACTGTTTGACCAAAATTTTCATGAGTCATTTCAGTTTTTTCCTCTCTTTTAATCTCTTCATGAACCATTTTCATGTTTCAATAATGAATTCAAAAATTACTGTTTGAGAAGATTTTCAAGTATAAATTGATAATATTGTGAGGTTAAGTTATTTTAAAATTACGTATTTTTCTTGCTTAGTTAACAAAATGATAAAGATAATTAAGTATTACTAGCACCATGGATAATTACCATAATTATTTTTCCATTTTCACTAACATTTATTGAGGTCAATAACACATGTGTACATGTATAATTTTATAAATCATAACACGGGACGTCGGGAGGTGATATTTACATAAATACAGAATGTCATGCCTTAATACTTAACAAATAGTTAACAAAATACCTGTTTCAACGAAGCACACCGATAATTGTATTCATCTTCACTTCTTTGTTGTGAAATACGAGTTTATGTTACAAAATTTCTCAATGTTCTTTATTGGCGGACGTTTCGTCATGTACTTCCGGTTTAGTATAATTTATAATCTCAACTCGAGGTCAGATTGATACAGATGTTTTCTGAGGCAAAATTGTTAGTTTGATTTGATTTGATATGCATTATTTGATGATTCGAATCGTATGTTTGTTCTCAGAATGAAATACTATGACATAATTCGTTCATCAGTAGGTGCGGTGTTGCTAGCTGCTATATGATTTTTCCCGCAAACCGGAAGGATAAAAAATGTAATATCCGTAATGTAAATTAAACTTTTATCTTAATCAACTAATTTTTGTGGAAAAAAACATTTTTTGTTCACTTTCGTTTCTTTGTGCAATTTCATACACAATAAAATGTGCCAGTTATTGTCAAGAACCGAAATATTTTACAATTGTATTTCGGAAATGACACAGTCTTCCTTTCTGATGATATTACGAAATTTCTGGAAAAATCCATTATTGAATGGGGAAATCAACTTCGCTGTAGCTCTCAAATTTGTGCTATTCTGATCGACTCTGTTTTGAATTAACATTCACATTCAACAAACTTTTCATCCTTCTTATGCTTTAAAAGAAAAATCTTCATAACAATGTTTGTTGAGACAAATAATACAAGCTACACTGTCTCAATTTATCCCTACAAAGAAAGTCTATATAACCTTGCAATAAAAAAAACCCTTTAACTCCCAAAATAGAGACCAATTTTCAGCTTTAGACCATAATTTGAATATACTTTGTAGGAACTAACAAGCTAATGCCTTGTGAGAAAAATCTAAGCTCTAGCCCTTTCCATTTTGAAGTATAAGAAGTTTTAAGTTTTTTCTTTTAGTTGCCATAGCAACCATAGTTTAGCATGGAATGGCATTCTTTGAACAATCTTGATAGAGCTTCATACAATGAGTATTCCTGCCAAGTTTCATTAATATTGGCCAAGTGGTATTGTAGAAGATGTCGTCTGAATAAAATGTGGACGGACACCGGACGCCATTTGGTTGGCCCCTGCACTTAAAATAGCTAAAAATAGAAATCGCTCATCTTGGATTGAGAAAACTGAATGTTGCAACAGCCGCTGATATTATGGATTCCCTGGAGAGTATCTTGACAGAATATAAACTGGAGTGGTCTCAAGTAGTGATGGAAATCGGATTAAATTTGTCCCAATCGATAATCGGTTCAGTCGGATGGGACATAATCGATAACTTTCGAATAAAGTCGCGTTAAAAAATAATAGGGAAGTAACATTTCTTACCAAGGCACTTGATTATATTTAATAACATGAACTTCATTTAGCACTTTTCAACACAGTTTTAACCTTATACTGGTATAGTCATAATTTTACGAAATAGATTTTATTTTTCAATGGATATCAAATAATACCATTTTCATCACATTATATTTCTTTTGTTTTACATCACTTATTGATCCTGTTCAACTCCAAATTGTCTCTGAGTGATTTTTTGCGATCCGCGAGGTGTTCCTAAAGGAAAATTACCGTCAGAATTGAATTCCCTTTGATAATTAAAACATTTTTGACGACGTCGCGGAACAAACTTTTGTGAATCGATTATTGTCGTTTTACATAACAGTAAGTGATAATCGGCGACTTGCGACAATCGGAACATCACTAGTCTCAAGTACTGAGTGTGTTAATGGACACTTGTTCCACAATGAGAGGTGTAAGAGGTGGTGTGGAAACATTGGTCAGAGAAAAGAACCCAAATCTATTCAATGTCAGTGGGGACACTGTTCATATGGTTAATAATGTAGCCAAAACACTTATGAATTGTGTGGACCAGACTGTGACAGCCTTTGCATCTGACTTGTTCTATGATATAGAGGAGTCACCAAAAGTGCAGGAGATATTCGCTGAAATTCAGTCATTGATCAATGAATGTGGCAAAACCAAAACATCTGATACGGCCGATATTAGTCACAAGTGTTGTGATTTTAATATTATTATTTATATAACTTTTCACAAAATAAGCAACTTAGTTAATTTAAATAATATGAAAGGAATTTATAAACCATTAGCAATGACTGATAAACTTTAAACAATATGATTCAGTTATTTAAAATGCTTGTATTTGTAATTCAAAATTTGTAAATCAGTAAATGATAAATTCATTAAATTGTCAGACTTCTTACTTTAGAGTTATTTGTATTATATTTTTGCATATGTGTAATATCAATATTTCAGGGACTTAATCAGCACAGTATTCAAGGACCACAATGTTTCTGATGAGGCCCAGGCTGCCATCATCCTGCTCCAGCTGGTAGTCCTGAACTTATGCAGAGGGTTGCTATGCGAGTTCCAGGGCTTTGTGAAGGTCTTTCAGTCCTAAAGCCCCCTCATTCACACGCTCCATGCCTGTATTGTTGATATGACGACACAGTTTCTCGCTATGTTCATAAAGCCAGAACACATTCCTGACAGAATGAAAGCTTTGGTCAATTTGGATGTCACTGACAAGAATCTCCAAAAGTCGGACAAAGAACTAGCGGTTGGAAAGTGTGCCTTTGCTGAGCTAAACAAGGCACGCATGGACTAGAAATACCAACACTGGGTCAGTTGTACTCCGACATCCTGCACGGGTATGTGGTGGCAGCTCAGAAGATGCCACTCAACAACAAGACTATCAGGCGTCTATCTGTCCTGGACCCAGCAATGACCTAAATTCTGCTAACGACACTCCGCCTCACAAAAGTGAACATTTGTGACAAGCTATATTGATCCTCTATGCATGTAGAAGTTTTGCTTGCGACAAGCATTTTTCAATGACCTCTAAGTGGGACCTTGACCTTTGACCTAGAGGCCTGCTTCATGCGCATTACACGGCTTCTCATAGTGGTGAACATTTGTATGAAGTTTCATTAGAATTCCTCCATATGTGTAGGAGATATGCTCTGGACAAAACCTCTATATTATATCATCTTTAGTGACCTTGACAATCATCTTTAGTGACTTTGACCTTGCACATATTTACCTTAATTACATGTTTCACACCAGTGGTCATGATAATGACCATTTGTGTTCCAATCCCTAAATACATGATGACTAAATGGTCCTATTACACATTTTCATATTTTTATCTGAACTTTAACCCCAATGTGTGACCTTGACCGCAGGGAGCTAAATTTTGCATGCAACACTCCCCCTCACAATAGTTAACATTTGTGCAAAGTTATATTAAAATCCCTCAGTGCATGTAGAAGTTTTGCTCCGGACAAGCGTTTTTCAATGACCTTCAAGTGTGAGCTTGACCTTTGACCCAGAGGCCTGGTTCATGAGCGCCACTAAGCTTCTCATAGTGGAAGTTTCATTAGAATCCCTTCACATGTGCAGAAAATATGCTCTTGACAAAATCTCTATATTTTATCACCTTTAGTGACCTTGACCTTGCATATATTAACCTAAATTACATATTTCACACCAGTAGTCATGATAATTACCATTTGTAATTCAATCCCTCAATAAATGATGACTAAATGGTCTCAACACACATTTTCATATTTTTATCTGAGATGTGCTCCGGACAAAAATCGGACAACACCCGCCTGCCAGGAAGAAACTTTACTACGACCCTTGAAAAACGGGTGTATAAAAAAATTTAATTCTGCACATCATAAACATGACTCTTCAGTATGATGCTGCTGTTAAGGAGTTATTTAAAGCATTACACTGGTTGGTAAATAAAGACATAGCTTTAGGTCTAAGTCATTGTTAGAATTTCTTCATGAACTAGGAGAGTCTGGTAGTCTTAAAATAAAGAAATCAAGATGCAATTGAGAGAAAAAAAGTAACTTGTATGCATTTGATTTGTTTATTAAGAAATGATTATTAAATAAACAAATCAAAGGCATACATGTTACTTTTTTTCTCTCCATTGCATCTTAATTTCTTTATTTTGGGATTCATTAGTTAAACTTGGAACTCTTAAATTTATAGTCAGGACCCATTATGCAAAAAAAATCACTGCCGGATTAGGGTGTTTCTATTGTACATCTGTAAATAAATAAAGGCTTTAAAGACAAAATGAGCAAAATTCTATTTTTAGCACTGGTGACCTTGACCCACTGATCCCTACCTCAATCAAAAGGATTAATATCAAGCAAGTTATCTGGTGTTGTAACTTAGAACACTGTCTATCATTTCTGAATCATTATAATAATCTTCACACTATGTCAAATTTCAAATGGTTCATCTGGCCATTTAAATGGACACGAGTCAAACCTTCCTTCGTATATTGCAGGTGTTGGGTCATAAAGAGCTTTATCCGACCTACCATTTAAACTGTCACAAACATTTTGAAATTTTAAATTTGATTTGTAGACTTTAAGAGCAGGACCAGCAAACTTTGGAAATCCTGCTTTAGGAGCATCAAGAATATATTTTGTTGGTCCTGAGCATAAGTACTTGTAATTCAAGACAAGCCAAGTACTTAAAATTGTTTGGTAGCTAAGCTCAAGTTTTTCACCAGTAGAAACAAAAAGCGGATATTTTCTACTTTGCAATAAGATATCATTATCACAATCATAAAAAAAGTACTGAACTTCTGTGCTGGATGCCAAAATGCAAGGGATTAAATAATGGTCCATCGTCAATGAGTGCCTCTGCTTTTGCAAAAAAGAGAAAGTTATTGTCTTAGCTAGAGCTTGGTCTCTTGTGGAAACTGACCCCAAGTCATTACATTTTATTTCTGCTCGTTCTCCAGGACTTATATCTTCAGGTTCAGAGGTAAAACCTACTCCAATGTCACAGTTATCTAACATGACATCTAAGGTACCATGCCAAACATCCTTGTTACCTGAAATGGAAGGCAAAGAACACGATTGCATTCATGAACTTAAGCTATGCCACCACATTAAACAACAGTTATAGTAATAAACATATGACCCCCAGGGTCACATGGGCCAATTTTGACACTAGAGGCAACATTTGAACAACTTTTGGTAGAGGACTTTTAGATCATGTCATACACTTAATATCAAAGCTCTAAGCCTTGTACTGTCAGACATGATCTTTTTTAAAGTTTTTACTGTAATATGTACATAATGAAAATCAATGACCCCTGGGTCCAGGCCAATTTTGATCCCATGGCTATCATTTGAACAATCTTGGCAGATGTCCATTATGCAATTTTTCAGTCAAAATATCTAACTTTGTTAGAGCACATAGATCATCAAAGTACATTTAGATGATTTCATACACTAAATATCCAAACTCTAAATGTACCTAAGTAATCAAACAAGACAATTTTACTATAATGTTCATAATGACAAGATAGTCTGAAGGACAGCTAAATCCCCTTCTGCATCAGACAAAATTGAGTACTTTTTGACCTTTACCCAACCATGACCTTGATGTTGTGCCATGCTTATCATAAACATATTGCTCATCACAAAAGTCTGTTTCAGATATTGATTAATTCTCCTCCATTATCAGAAGGATACCTTTGTAGATCCTCTTATTTTGCTTGATTTTTACATCAATGTTATAACCTTGACCTTGGGGAAAGCAACCCAATTATTGCATGCTGCAAATCTTATAATGATGATCACATGTTCCAAGTTATTTCAAAAGTTTTTCACCGGTTTAAAAGTTATGGAGCAGACACGAAATGTAGACTTTTTAACACTTAAACTTTAATTATAACCTTGACCTTTGGGAAAGCAACCCAATCATTGCCATCTGCACATGGTCTCATAATTGTGATCACTTGTGCCAAGTTACTTCAAGAAATTTTCAACCACTTAAAATTTATGGAGCGAACATGAAATGTAGACTTTTTAACGCTTGACCTTTAAGTGTGACCTTTAACCTTGAGGATAGCAACCAAATTATTGACTCTCTACATTGTGTCATAATGGTGAATACATGTGCCAAGTTATTTCAAAACTTTTCAGTGGTTTTTAAGTTATGAAGGGGAAATGAAATGTAGACTTTTTTTTCACTTGACCTTTAAGTGTAACCTTAACCTTTGAGTTAGCGACAAAATATTGCCCTTTTGTACATCATCTCATTGTGGTGATCACTTGTGCCAAGTCATTTTAACAAGAGTTGTCACTGGAGACAGCGAAGCTCTACTAATAAAATACTGGACATAGTAAGGAGGACAAAACTATGAAAGAAAAATCAATTATGTATAATTATGTATTAAGTTATAGTAAAAAAATAACATCTGTTAACATAAAATTCCAAGCTCAAGAGAAATAATTCTAGAAAAAGTCATGCTAGAGTTATGAACCTTGTCACACAACATGTGTGTAATGATAAGAAATATATATTTGAAGTTTGAAGTAGATACCTTAACAAGAGGGCCATGATGGCCCTGAGGTCGCTCACCTGTTATATAGGCCCCCCCAATCCCCCCCCCATGCTAAACATCTAAGCTCTAGCTCATTGGGCTTTTTAAAAGAAGATTTTTTTTTTAAAGTTTTTACTATACACATATAGTTAAAACAATGACACCCCTGGGGCCAGGCCAGTTTTGACCCCAGGGCTTTTATTTGAACCAACTTTGTAGACAATTACTAGAAGATGTTTCATGCTTAATATCTAAACTTAAGCTATTTGGTTTTTTTCAAAGATGATTTTAAGTTTTTGCTATACACATATCAAGAAAATCAATGACCCCCGGGGCTGGGCCAATTTTGACCCCAGGTCTTTTATTTGAACAAACTTTGTAGACACTCACTAAAAGATGTTTCATGCTTAATATCTTAACTTTAGCTATTTGGGTTTTTTCAAAGAAGATTTTTTAAGTTTTTGCTATATGCATATAAGGAAAATCAATGACCCCCGGGACGGTGCCAATTTTGACCCCAGGGCTTTTATTTGAACAAACTTGGTAGACACCTATTAGAACATGTTTGATGCTCAATATCTTAGCCATAGCTCTTTGAGTTCTTTAAAAGAAGATTTTTTAAGTTTTTACAATATGCATATTGGGAAAATCAATGACCCCCCGGGGCGGGGCCAATTTTGACCCCAGGGCTTTTATTTGAACAAACTTGGTAGACACCCATTAGAACATGTTTCATGCTAAATATCTTAGCTCTAGCTCTTTGGGTTCTTTAAAAGAAGATTTTTTAAGTTTTTACTATATGCATATAGGGAAAATCAATCACCCCCCGGGGCGGGGCCAATTTTGACCCCAGGGCTTTTATTTGAACAAACTTGGTAGACACTCACTAGAAGATGTTTCATGTTAAATATCTAAGCTCTAGCTCTTATGGTTTTTTAAAAGAAGATATTTAAAGTTTTTTCTTTCGGTTGCCATGGCAACCAGAGTTCTGCATGGAATTAAATTCTTTGAACAATTTTTAAAGGTGACCACCAAAGGAACATTCCTGTGAAGTTTGGATGAAATTGGCTCAGTGGTTTATGAGGAGATGTCATTTAAAGTAAAAGTTTACGGACGGACGATGGACGCCGGACGAAAATCGATCACAAAAGCTCACCCTGTCACTTTGTGACAGGTGAGCTAAAAAGTAAAGAAGTTATAATATTTCTTAAAGAAAATCCTAAGTTCAAAGAGAGATAAATCTGTAAATATTGCTTCAAGAGTTATGAACATTGTCACATAAGATGGGGATGATGATATTAAAGGTACATATATTTGAAGTATGAGGTTGATCCCTTAAGAAATAAAGAAATAACAGTAAAAAATAGTATTTTTTTGAGGAAAATTCTAAGTTCAAGGGGAGATAAATCTTAAAATATTGGTGCTAGAGTTATAAACCTTATCATATAAGATGGGGATGATGATAAGGTATATATATTTGAAGTATGAGGTTGATCCCTTAAGAAATAAAGAAGTAACATTAAATAAAAGAAGATTTTTTAAGTTTTTACTAAATGCATATAGGGAAAATCAATGACCCCCTGGGGCGGGGCCAATTTTGACCCCAGGACTTTTATTTTAACAAACTTGCTAGACACTCACTAGAAGATGTTTCATGCCAAATATCTAAGCTCTAGCTCTTTGGGTTTTTTAAAAGAAGATATTTAAAGTTTTTTCTTTTGGTTGCCATGGCAACCAGAGTTCTGCATGGAATTAAATTCTTTGAACAATTTTTAAAGGTGACCACCAAAGGAACATTCCTGTGAAGTTTGGATGAAATTGGCTTAGTGGTTTATGAGGAGATGTCATTTAAAGTAAAAGTTTACGGACGGACGACGGACGGACAGACGCCGGACGAAAAGCGATCACAAAAGCTCACCCTGTCACTTTGTGACAGGTGAGCTAAAAATAGTATATTTTTAGGAAAATTCTAAGTTCAAGGGGAGATAAATCTGAAAATATTGGTGCTTAGAAAAGTTATGAACCTTGTCACATAAGATGGGGATGATGAATAATAGGTACATATATTTGAAGTATGAGGTTAATCCCTTAAGAAATAAAGAAGTAACAGTAAAAATAGTATTTTTTAAGGAAAATTCTAAGTTCAAGGGGAGATAAATCTAAAAATATTGGTGCTAGAGTTCTGAACCTTGTCACATAAGATGTGGTTGATGATAAGGAACATATATTTGAAGTCTTAAGTTGATACCTTAAGAAATGACAAAGTTATAGTGAAAAATATTTTACTGCACCAAAACTTTAATCTGAAATCTGGACGCAGACGCCGACGCCGGGGTGAGTAGGACAGCTCTCCATATACTTCGTATAGTCGAGCTAAAAACTAGAGGTTGTCACAAGTGATGAATACCCCCGACCCTTGCTTGTACATAATTTATTAGCTAAAATAAGACCTCTGTTGAAAGATTTTTATTCTAAGGCCACCCTTAAATATATACCGGTTTGATATTGCCGACTCAGGGTTACAAGGAGTGGGTCAGTAGGTAGGCTTTTTTTTTTCTTTTTTTTTTGATATATGATTTTCATGGAACCTAAGTTTATATGCTAAAATTAGTTGTAGCAGATTGTGAAAATTTGGACTTCAATATCATCATCGGGGACGACTAAACTGACTTGTATTAAACAGTCAAAAACAAAGACATGTTCACTAGCTAGTAATCATAACATGAAATAACAAGAGCAAGTAACGTATTTACTTGCCTCTGTAAAAAATAACACAAGCAAGATTTGTCTCCTATAATTTCTGAATGGCAGATATTTGCACGCCTGTTTCAATAATGTTAAAATGTTAAATTGTTATTTACCGAAAAACATAGCCAATTTTTTATTTTGATTGTGATATATTTACATTTTTTACGCAATTGAAATTTGGAAACTACCATTGCGATATGATCTTGCAGATTGTGAAATACTTGACACCATGCTGTGTCTGCTATCAAACAATAATGCACATGAAAAGACCACAGCTTCCAAATTTTTATTTTTTGGTCAAATTTATGACAGAATCCCAACTGCTTCCAGAAATTTTTATTGCAGGGGCTAAGTATTTAATCTGTGTCGGCAGTCATAAGCAAAATCAAACATGAACCCCAAAGCACATTAAAGCTATGATGCGGTAAACTAGTTTAACAAATATCCATTAATTGAACAAACATCATTTTTAATCCACACCTCAATTTGATATATTCTATAAATAGTTAATTGTTGCACGCATGCAGTAACTGAGTGACATAAGGTAAATCCCTTTCCTGGTTGGTAGCTATTTATGTACATGTAGATACTTTAAATAGTAAAACCCTAATTTTATGCACAGAATGCCCTCATGAATGAATGATCAATCTTTACATGCCAGTTTTCATATTAAATGTGTGATTTTCATTCGGATTTTATTTTTGTTTTCCAGGGGATCTTTTTTGGTTGATTGCCCTGACTGATTTGGCCGAAATAAAAATCAAGAGGGCCCTTGGGCCCTGGGTCGCTCACCTGAGGCATGGGTGTATGCCTGAGTTTGTGAAGAAAAACATTGTTAGTTTCAATTGAATTCGGAAAAAGGTGATCTCAGTTTTACAAAGTTTCCCAAAGATCTGATCGAGACGGACTTAGTTTCTAAACCTATATGACTTAGTTTCAAGTCTGCATTAGGTCTTGATGAGATAAAATATCTTTTGGCAGATTATTCAATTTATGCCCAGAGGATGAAAAGGGGCCCAACCAGGGGCAAAGTTTGAATAATTTTTGTTGAGGACCACTAGATTATGTTACATACCAATTATCAAGGCTATACACCTTGTGGATTTTGACAGGAAGATTTTCCCTGTATAACTTTATAAAACTGATGAGCCCCCTGGCAGGGCCCCTTTTGATCCTTGGGGCATAATTTGAACATTTTTTGTATAACATACCAAATATCAAGGTTCTACACCTTATGGATTTTGACAAGAAGACTTTTTAAAATTTCCCTATATAACTTTTTATAAAACTGAGGAGCTCCCTGGCAGGGCCGGCCCCTCTTGATTCTAGGGTCATAATTTAAAAATCTTTGTAGTGGACCACTAGATGATGTTACATACCATATATCAAAGCTGTAAGCCTTGTGGTTTTTGGCAAGAAGATTTTTAAAGACTTTGTTTAAAAATCAAGAAACACCCATGGCCAGACCCCTTTTGCCCCTAGGGGCATAATTTGAACAATCTTTGTAGAGAACCACTAGATCATGTTACATACCAAATACCAAGAGTAAAAATAAACAAAGGGCAATAACTCTAAGCTTAGGAAAGGCAGATTAAAGGTTCTTTTGCACTGCTATTTTACTCAATGAGATCTATCAACCTACAAAGTTTCTTGTTGATACCCCTTGTCGTTTTAGACAAAGTTCAAAGTGTAAAATAAACAAAGGGCAATAACTCCAAAAAATTAGGCAAGGCAGAGTTACAGTTCTTTTGCACTGAACTTCTACTCAAAACGATCTATCTATCTACCTACAAAATTTCTTGTTAATACCCCTTGTCTTTTTAGAGTTATGTCTCAGACAAAGTTCAAAGTGTAAAATAAACAAAGGAATTATAGGCAAGGCAGAGTTACAGTTCTGTTGCATTCCACTTTGACTCAATGAGATCTATCTACCTTTAAAATTTGATATCTCTAGAAGTATTTGGCACATAAATTATTATTCTGATTACTCACAGTTATATGCAAAATAAACTGCAAATCATATATTGCACATTTGCAACCAAATAAAAATAAGACATGTTCAATTTTTGAATAAGTTCTAGGGGCATAACTGTAAAAAAAATTCAAACTTACCTGCATATGCAATATTTCAAACTTATACATACATTTTCCTACAAAAGTGCGGAAATGAAGAATCCCCCCCCCCCAAGTTAAAGGGGCATAACTCTGACTGTTGGGGAGATAATAAATGGAAACTGAATTTTTTTTTCAAAGTTAAGGGGCATAACTCTGTCCAAAATACTCAAACCATGACCAAATTAGTCCTTGATCTGCATATTCCTTTGAGGTATCCTTATGTCAAATTTGAGTTTAAAGTGTAAACTTGTTGGGGAGATAATGAAAGGAAACTGAAAATTTAATAAGGGGCATAACTCTGTCAAAAATCATCATACCATGACCAAATTCTATCTTGACTTGCATTTTCTTATGATAAATCCATATGTCAAATTTGACTTAAATGTGTGCACCCGTTACAAAGATAATGAAGGGAACCGGATGATGATAGGAGGATGGAATGACGGAACAGGACAACACTATATGCCCTGGCCATTTTATGGCTGATGAATAAAAATTCAGTGGTTTAATAGATATGGAACGGACACAAAATATAGACTTTTCAACTTGACCTTTAAGTGTGACCTTGTCGACCTATGTGGAAGCAACCCATTGTATTCTGCACATCGTCTCATTGTGGTGATCACTTGTGCCAAATTATTTAAAAATATTTTTGGCAGTTTAAAAGTTAAGGAGCGGACAAGAAATTAGACTTTTTAACCTTTGACCTTGGGGAGAGAGACCCAATTATTACGCTCTGAACAGCGTCTCATAGTGGTGATCACTTGTGCAAAATTATTTCAAAATATTTTCAGCGGTTTAAAAGTTATGAAAGTTACAAGAAATTGTTACAGATGGACAGACCGCCAGACAGATGAAGGCCATTCCTATAATCTCCTCTCTGCTTTGCAGAAGGGGGTTAAAACTCAATCTCTGCACAGATGATCATTTTTATTCCAAGAATAAAACCACAATTAGTATTTAGACTGACTTACCAATTGACGTGTCACCAAAATAATCCAAGAAGTCATTCTCTGAATTCCAACAAGAGCATTTGCTTCCTTTATCGGATGCATTCTTATCCATGATAAAACTTTTCGACACTGACAGCTTTGAGAAGTAATGAGTAGCCAGTCTTATCATCACTTGTGTCTCATTCTCATCACTGTGATTTGCTATTAGACACTCCTGAGACTCTGGAATGCAAAAAGACACAACTATAACCCTGACACAGAGCTGTCCTGAGGATGTGACTTTGCCCCGTTTGCGCTACATAAATTCAAAATGGCACAAGAAAATTGTGTTAAGGTGTAAAAAAATGTTTGTTTCCAGTGTTCTGATTTTTTCAATGAGGAGCCTAAACGTTTTTAGGAAAACAGGCCACATTTTTGTCTGACGCAGCATAATAAACTTTGCGCCGCATAAAAATATTTCTGTCAAATACACTCCATAAAAGTGGGATCCAAGATGACAGAAATCGGAGGGTACTGGTAAAAAGACAAATGCTCCCTGCTCAGATTCTTGTCAGTAACAATATTTCAAAAACTATTTACCCATTCACTCAGTAAGGACGGAAAATAGTAAAAACTAGAACTCTGCGAGTCGGATGTGTCGCCTTGTTGATATAAAAGCTTTCAGATAGGCATTCTTCTTGATGTTGTAGACATTTATGCCCAGTTATTTTTAAAATCCTTCCATGCATGACAAAGTTACAGCCCGGACATGATTGTGTGTACCTATTAATTCTGATTGCGATGTGAAAGTTCAAAATGATAGTGTGACCTTGACCTTTGAGGTAATTCTTGGATGCGACACATTGTCTTGATGTGGTAGGCATTTATGCCTAGTTATTTTAAAATCATTCAATGCATGACAAAGTTACAGTTTGGACACAAATGTGTGTACCTATTTCATCTAATTGCGATAACGTGAAACTTCAAAATGATAGTGTGACCTTGACCTTTGAAGAGAGAAGCAATTCTTGGACGCTACACATCGTCTTAATGTGGTAGACATTTATGCCTAGTTATTTTAAAATCATTCAATGCACGAATGTGTGTACCTATTTACTCTTGTTGCTATAATGTGAAACTTCAAAATGATAGAAAAAAAAATTCTGGAAACAAAGTGATCCCTCGGAAGCATTAATCACAACAAAATAACATAAGAATTGCAGACTCGGTTTGATTGAGTCTGTACATGAAGGATAATTAATAAGTGCAACATCCCTCACGCCCCCTAGCACCGGCTTGAGCGGTACTCAATTCTCAACACTTTATAGTGTTGGCATCAATGATCCCGAAGGACCAGAAAATATAACAACACTGAAGTGAAGTACGGGGCAACTTTTTACGGCTGCCACACAGCACTTGACACCTGCTGTTGTGAAGTACAAAATTCTGGAAACAAAGTGATCCCTCGGAAGCATTAATCACAACAAAATAACATAAGAATTGCAGACTCGGTTTGATTGAGTCTGTACATGAGGGATAATTAATAAGTGCAACATCCCTCACGCCCCCTAGCACCGGCTTGAGCGGTACTCAATAGTGTAACCATAGTGTGATAGTGTGACCATGACGGCGAAGGCAAAAACAATATGTCTCCCAAAAATTCTGGGAGACAAAATGAATGACATCAAAAGAAATTTACTGTTACCTATTGTTCTCATACTGGTCATGGACCATCAACCTTACATTTTTTAAACATTTGGCAGCACAGATTTCATAATTTTTAACCTAAAGACCAAAAAATTTGACACAGTTCAGCTAGGTTTTTCTCGTAACTAACAAACTACAGTTGACTCTCGGTAACTTGAAATCCAAGGGACTGGGCATTTTACTTCGAGAGAAACGGAATTCGAGTAACGTGGATCAGCCGCCATTACGTTGACATTCGTACATTATATACATGTGCCTGATAGTATATGCAAAGAAGTAGGTTTGTTATTGTTGATAGCGGTAATGCTGCGATATTTAACCGTTGAAATTAAGGTAAATCACTAACAACTACAAATTAAAAATGAACAAAAATATATCATTCAATAACACATTTATTTCAACAACAATTTATCTAATATTTGAAGAGAATTGATCATCGGTGTTCGATCGAAAGTAGCAACTATCATGAATCGGAGGTACATATTAATGTATGCAATATGACGGAACATTAATTATACAAATGCCTTTTACGTTGATAACACACATCGATACCTAGGCTGTTATTTGACTAACACCTGTCAGTTTGGCACGAGTCAACTTTCTTTAATAGTGCTTAATTACAATAATTAAACTAATTAAATTTTAATTTAGTTATCTAACTGTTAAAACCAATTAAGTCCTGGAACCGATTAAAGCAACTTTTACAACGTGTTAATAATACATGATGACCGGAAATTAAAATTACTATGAAACGTGTGAATCACGAGCGACAACATCTCACATTAATGTCGCCGACCTTTAATCAGTTGGCTGTTTTCACACTTCGACTAATTGAGATGAAAATATGTTGAACTTTAATTGACGGGACCAAATTTTCTTTTCGACTAAACAGGAGATTCGGTAAGTCAAAATTTGACCTAAGTGGAGTTAAAATACAAAGATAAAGAAGGAAATTTGACGGGACTTTAGAAATTTTTCGACTAACACGGAATTTTGAGTAAAGCGATTTTGACTTATTGAGAGTCAACTGTAGTTTGTTTATTTATGATTGTATTGGCACTTATATCTGAGGCTCGACAATTGTCTACACTACAGTACCATGTGTCCGAACAGATATGTACATGACGTGATTTAATTCAGATAAAAGCTTGGTTGTTTTTATTTTTTACATGATATACAATATGTCAGCAACAAATGCTGAAGCTTTGGATATTCTATTAATCACTCTGCAAATGATTATAGCTGGTATATGAGGTCAGGGATTGCTTTCTTGACCCCCAAATTTCAACGTCATCATTCTTGAAATAAACATTAAAATATTGCCATTTACGGAGGTTGAAATAAATTTATTTACTTAATTTTAAAATAAACATGCACTTATTGTCAATAAAAAAAGTGACTGACAACAACTGAACAAAGAAAATACTAAATTAAGCATTTTCGGAGCCGTTCGGGATTGGTGGTTGTACGGTTTTGTAGGTCCCCAACCAGGAATTACGGACAGGGCGGACCGTACCAGGGCGGACCAAATGTTTGGATTGGGCGGACCATATTTTGGGACAGGGCAGACCGTGACTCGAGACAAGGCGGACCGTGATTTATTTTAATAAAATATTTAAATATTGATGTTTCTTTGTTTTTCTTTTAATATCATTCTAAACATATACATATAATTAATGTTTGAAATTATTTTTTGTTCATAGGATTGCAGTATTTCAAATGAATCGTAACACACTTTCTTTGCAAAATCGGCAAATTAGTAATCCGTCAAGTAAATCGAGTTTTTTTATAAAAAATAATTTAAAACACTACTGTACTAGAAACTGGTTCAAATTTATAAGTAGGTTTTTAAAAAATTAAATTTGCTGCGAGTCTGCGCGGCACCTGACCAATTTAGTTTTGTTAATACCTAGGAATAAACTTTAAGTTTAACCTATACTTAATGCAGTTTATTAATTTAGAATATTTTTTAGGATATTATTAATAACCATGTCGAGTTGGATATTATGTAGGTGATAATTGACCAATTGTTGGGATATTACATGCCATTGTTTGTCAAATAATAAGAAGGTAACGCTGCTAAAACTGAAAATCTTTATTAAACAATATGATATAGAAAGTATTTGTTTTTCACATCTGATATTGAGAAACACAGTACAACACAATAACGTAAAATGATGATGAGTGACATGTATAAAGACCATTAATGAACACAAAAGGAAGACAAAATTTACATCGTAAGCACATAGAAAGGAATTAAGACTTATTAATTTACAGATACACGAACATGTAATGAAGAACATAGATACAATAGCAGCCGCATGTGTATCCATATTTACACTGTAATATATATTCGGTCATTCATATATTCATATTTACACCCATAATTACACAGGGTCATAAAGACTTCCAAAGCTATCAAAAATTTTGTCTTGTTGGAATATTATAGCCATTATTTCATTAAATTTAACTGCATGCTCCTGGTTGACTTGAGTTGAATTCTCATCAATTTTGATTCTTTGATGAGTTAGTTTATATTTAGAATTGGTTTTGTGCTGTGCTTTATTAAGATTATGTCTGTTTTAGTGAAATTAATACATGTTGATACATTATATTAATTATTTCTTGTTTAATTAAGTAATATAAATAATCTATATTCTCTAAAAGCTAAAATGTTATGAATGGATATATAAAAAATGATTCACAATTGAACGGTAATTGTTTCAAAGTTTATATTTAACGATTTTAGCCAAAAGGAAAATATGTTTGTTATAATTATATGAGATTTTAAACCATTCCCATTAGCTTACACTTTTCCTATTTTATTACTTAAATTGTAGGGTCATTATCTATTAATAAATTAAAAGTTTAATTCACAAATCCGCCTTATGTGTGTCTGCAACATGATTATACATAATATTAGATCTAACTATTTAGCCTATGTTAAATAAAATCGTTCAATTATGAAAAAAAGCTTATAAAACATGTTTTGGGAAAAAATGATACCAAAAAATATAAAAATTTTAAAAGCAAATTTTTAAATTTTAAAAATAAAACTGGTCCCCCCTCGTCTCTACCGGGCCCCCCTGTCCCAAAATATGGGCCGCCGGCCCCCCCTTTTAAAAAATCCGCCCCCCCCCACGGTCCACCCCCAACTAGTGCCCCCCCCTAATACCCATTTTTCCCCCAGAAAGAAAAAAGATGGGAAATAAAACCCTATAGTAAATCTAAAATAACTTGCCCCACTTGGGGTTAAAATCTTTTCAAAATTGGTTGTTTTTCTTTGTTTTTTGCAAAAAAAGCCGGTAATCAACGTATTTTTTCAAGATTTAAGAAGTTCGGGACAATATACTGAAAAATTTTTTCTTATTTTCTCGAAAAGATAGTTCAACAAGATCAACGGCTTTTGGCCTACATCTTCTTCAATTGCAAGGATGTGTTCTCATCTTTTAAAATGCCCTTTTTAAAATTTCTAAACACCTTAAGGGAAGTACTTCCAAAAAGGGATAAAGCTCTTTAATATGAACGTGGTTTTTTCCATGGCACGTTGCCCTAAAGAAAATTGCTTCCCCATTTTCAGCAGCTGCATCGCAGTGCTAATTTCAAGAA